CAAGTTTGCTTTTTACCTTCCAGTTTTCTCTCATTCTTCCCCTGTCCCAAGGAGTGTCCCATGTTACTCTTGTGTCTACCTGAGTTCTAAGCTTGTCGAGCAAGAATATGACTCTTTAGTCGAGTCTACTTTGGCGAGCTGTCGGCATGGAGATATGCCGAGATTTACCTCCACATCTGGTCGAGCAGATGATCCCATAATGATCTCTGACTTGCCGACTTCATCTTCTTCTAGTGATTCTTCTGATAGCATTTTTGATTTAGGTATGCCCATTCTTTTCTGATTCAGCTCTTTTCTTGTTTTAGGTTTTTATGGCATCTTCTCCTCAAGAAGTTGTTGATGAGTCGACCTCTATCGAGTCATGTTTTGAGTCCCCTTCAGCCTCTTTAGTATCCCATTTTCCGTGGGTAACTTTCAAGATGAGTTCGGATGATGTGGCTGGTCTTCCCGTTGGGTAGTTGGATAATTACGATATAGCCCCTCCCCGAGAAGATGAGCCGGTTTGCTCTGGGGGAGCAGAAGAAAACCCTTGTTTCTTTTTCTTCTATCGTGATGTCGTGACTCAACTTGGAATTCGGTTTCCTTTGACTGAGTTCCAAATGGACATTCTCAATCATCTCCATATATCACCCACCTAACTTCATCCCAATGGCTGGGGTTTTGTTAAGGCATTTGAGCGTTTTTGTGCATACCTTGCTCTTCAGCCTTCTGTTCGTGTCTTTTTTATTTTTTTCCAAGTTGATTCTTGTCGAACCGGTCGTGAACCGCCAGAAAGAAAGGGTTGGGTTGCCATCCGGGGTGTTCCGGGTCGTAGACTTTCTCGGGTTTATACGGAGTCTTTTAAAAATTTTAAAGACCAGTTCTTTAAAGTTTATGCACACCCCAATAAAGAGGTATGATTTCTCCATAACCGCGGTATCGAGGACGTAGAGGGAAAGTTTCCCTTATGTTGGTCATCTGACCATTTCCAATTTCCTCCTTCAAGCTACTGCTTCAATGAGTCATTATTAATCCCTGCCGACATCAATAGTGACATTGCCATTGGTACATATTTGCAGTCATACAAACATGCCAGTGTTGCATCCCTCATTTATAAGTCTCAAGAGGAGCTTGATGCCGAATTAAATATGTTTATGTCTACATTTATAATGCGTGTGTATTGCATTTATGACCCGATTGCCGCTTTGTTTTGTAGTTCCTGATATGGCAGACCAACAACCAGGCGTGCAGGAAGGTGAAAAGGACGACCAACCTAGCTAGCTCTCGGTTTTAAACCGGGGTGCCAAAGGTGCAGTTACTGACTCGACGGGAAAGAAAAGAAAAGCCTCTTATGAATGATCTAAGAAGCCTCATTCCCTTACTGCCGAGAAGAACAAAGGAATCCCTAGTAACAAGTCCAAGGGGAATCCTGAGAAGCGTGCTCCTGTTTCTTCCCAGGGTGTGTCAAAGCCGGCTATGTATCCACCTTCATCCGGGATTTCCAAGCATGCGTTATGAAAATCTGGAATAACTGGTGCTCTCCGAGATGCCGTTTTCCCCCCTGAGATTTTCTTTAACTCTTCTCCTTTCACCTCAACGCAAGTAAATGAATTGGAGGATATGGAGTTGGGTTGTATGAAAATGTCGACCATGGTTAAGCCACTCCTGTCTTTGAAGGATAATTACCTTCGCACCCTTAATGACCTGAATACATGCCAGGGTGAAAAAGCCAAGGCCATTGCTGACTTATCCCAAGTGAAGGAAGAAAAGGACCAAGCCGTGTTGGCGTTGGCGGAGACTAAAAAAAACGTTTCACCAACCTTCAAAGGGAGCATAACGAACTTCAATCCTTACATGCCTTTAATCACAAGTCGCTGACTGATTTCAAGATTATGTTCGAAAAGGTTGAGGCGGAGTTGAAGGAAGCTAAGTCCACTGCCGAAAACTATCGAGTTGAACTCGAGAAACCAGTGGTGGGTTCTTTCAACAATGCTCTTAATCAACTGAAGGTTGTCAACCCAGAATTAGCGTTTAATACAACCGAAATACATACCAAGGTGTATGTCAGCAAGGGCTTGATTGTAGGTCCCCCTCCAGAATCTCCACCTTGTGACTCTGTTACTCAGACAGAAGGCGGGGAAGAGACCATGGTAGAGGGAGGTGAAGAAGTTAGCACTCAGCCTGCTCCTCCTGCCGCATGAAGGGCCGGGATGCCGGTTTCATTCTGTAACTTTTTTCTTGTTGGGGTCTTTGGGCCCCTTTTTAACTTATTTTGAATATTGCTGGTTTTACTCCGGTTTAAATTTGCTCTTTGAGCCTTTTATCTTCTTCTCATATTCTGCTTTATGATTTGACGTCGCGCATTTCTTACTTTTCTGAGTTTTCCCCTAGATGCATGATCTAGGTATCTGGTTTTCATAATTTTTCGTATTTTCCTTGAGCATTCATCGAATACTTGTAAGGATTTAGCATACTCTTGTATTCTGACAAGTGGGCTTATGCCTTTATCAGCTAAGTTCATAACTTAGGCAATTTTCATGTATTTCAGACCTTGTCTGAGTTGCCCCATCATGGATGAGTTGCAACTTGGGTTGATTTTACTTTTTTAACCCGATCTTTTACGAGTTGTGCGTTAGGCTTTATCCGAGTTTTACCTCATACTTTTTGGTACTTTTTTCAACTCGGACAAATTTATTAAACCCGTGCATCTTACGAGTTTCATATTCTTGACCTGACCGAGGTCAAAGCATTGTACGAATTTCGATTTCTGTCACTCTCCATGATGCATGTTTGTTTTGACTTTACCGTTTTGGTAAGCCTGTATTAATAATTGATCTCGTCTTTATTGACTTAACCATTTGCTATAATTTGAATTTTGTAATTCAACTTTATCTAAGATAAAGACAACACTGTCACCTGTCCCTTTTGGTTCTTTGACCGAAATAAGGAGCATTTTGACTTGACCAGAGTCACTATGACAAATTGTACTTGTATCTCGAATTTTGTATTGATGCATCAAAAATAGATGATAACTCTCCAAAAGAGAGTTATTTTTGGACATAATTGTGATATTTTGGTACCATGATTGCATATAATTCTCTTGATTTTATATTATTAATGCATGAATTCTATGATTTCATGATTTAATTGAGAATTATGTTAATTATGTGTATTTGGATATAAATGAGCATTGGAAACATTTAAATGCACTTGTTATTTTACTGCAGGTCAATGCTGTAGCATCGAAAAGCGGTGTTGTAGCAGTGCAGATGAGGTCAGTAATGCATCATCACCAGCAAGCTATGGATCCAAGCCCAATTAGCTAGAAGAAGTTTCTGAACGTGTAATCAGAGTCCTGAGCTGGCTACGCGCTTTAAAACATTCAAAGGATCACCATTAAAGCTTCATTAAATCAGCGATTACATTTCCAAATTCAGACCTGAAACACGAAATGGAAAGAATCTGATGAGATATGCTGCAACATTATGTGCTGTCCCTGATCAGCGCTGCAACAAATAAGGAAAGAATCTCCAATCAGCGCTGTAGCAAAACACAAGTGTATCTTCAATCATAGCTGCAGCAAATACGGAAAGAATCTTCAATCAAGTGCTGCAGCAAAACACAACTGTATCTTCAATCATAGCTGCAGCAAATAAGGAAAGAATGCTTTGTCAGCATTACAGCAAAACATAGTGTCATCCTTATCCACTCACACGACATATTTGAATGAAGATTTACATGGACCTGAAGAGCTGTTTGAAGCCCAGAATATCAAGTATATAAAGGAACGAACCCTACACACAGAAAGAAGGCAAGGAACGCTACACATGCTTTAGACATTCAATCAGATCCTAGAGAGAGAAAGTGGGGGAAACACATAGAGAGAATTTGAGGGATCGTTAAGAGAGATCCAAGAAATCAAAGGGTGAGGCTAGGGTTTGGTAGAGAGATCATCAAATCCGGTGGATCCCTGCACTATTCCGGCGGCTGAAGCAAGGATGATGGTGGTGGAGCCTACGGTAGTTGCGGGAGTAGTGCTACAGCAACGTCCCTGTTTTCTTTACTTTAGTTTAATGGAATCTTATTCTTTCTTTGTTGTTTCTTCCCACCCAAGTATAGGCTAAATTGTTATGATTGGGTGATAGAGTACCTTTATTGTGATGTAATCAGTTTGCCTAAACTTTGCTATATGATTGTCCTTTTAGTTGTTTAATAAAGTGCTTACTTTGTCTTTATTCTTGTTGACTTATCGAGAGAGAACTGCAAGATACTTAGGGTTTGGGCTATAGAGATATAGGTGAACTCAGAAAGTTATTAAGCATTGTGGTTTAACTAATTTAATTAGTTAATTGTGGGTAGAGAGATCATTCACACCACAAAATCAAATGGAACTTGCAGTTAAAGATTCATAACTATGTTGGCAATATGGATGTGGGACTTAGTATACATGTAGTGTTGGTGAAAGCACTTGCATGCATTAGTGTTCTGGTTACTGGTTGGATAATTGCTATAGCATTGTTACTGCATTCTGGTGAAATTGCAATATTGGGGAAATTGATCCCAATCTATCTTTAATACTTGGAAAACCTATTTTATTACTGCATTCTTTTAGTTAATTATTAGTTTTATTGTTTAATTAGTCATTAACCTCTTCCAAATTATCTTTGTTACCTTGATTGCTTCACATTGATCCCAACTTTATAGTTTTCTTCGTGGGAACGATATCTGGACTCACACATCCACTTTATTACTTGTTGACACGTGCACTTGGGTAATGTGTGATTTAATTGATTACGAAATTGCACAACAAGTTTTTGGCGCCGTTGCCGGGAAAATTTATAAAGTTAGTTTCTTTGTGAAGTGATACTTGATCCATTTTCTTTCTATTTTCAGGTTTTTGCAGGTAGTACATAAACAGTCCTCCTCACTAAACAAAAGTATACTTTGATCCAAAAATTGAAGGAACACTTCAAGCTAGGAAGAGGCAGCAGTGACAGAGCATTGCTACAGCATTACCTGACATGGCATCAAGAATAGCAGGTTCTGGTGTTAATGGACTAGGTCCAAACCAGGATGAAATTTCAATCAGGGCACATGGAATGCTTGCACTTAACAATCTTCATTCTGCCATTGTGCAACCTGATGTTGCAGCAAATAGTTTTGAGTTTAGACTAGTGATGTTTGACATGCTGCAAACTATTGGCCAGTTCAATGGGTTGTCAAGTGAAGACCTGCATCTACACTTGAAGAACTTCATGGACGTGGCAAACAGATTTAAGATGCAAGGAGTTACATCTGATGCACTAAGACTGAAGTTGTTTCCTTATTCTCTCTTCAATGGAGCTAAGACATGGCTTAACACTCTACCACCTAATTCAATCAGAAGATGGGAGGACCTTGTTGAAAATTTTTTGATCAAATTCTTTCCTCCCACCAAGGCAGCTCAATTGAGGAATGATATAGTAATGTTCCAGCAATTTGATGGAGAATCATTATATGAAAGCTGGGACAGATTCAAGGAATTGCTATGGAGATGCCCCAATCATGGCATACCTGAATTGATCCAGATGGAAACTTTCTACTATAGGTTGAATGGAAAAACTAAAGATATAGTAGATGCATCATCTGGAGGAGCTCTCTTGGACAAGACTTACACTAAAGCATATGAGATCCTAGAGAGGATGGCTTACAACAATTACCAATGGCCAACAGAGAGGTCAATTGCACAGAATGAAGCTGCAGGATTGCTGGAGCTCGATGCTATATCTTCATTAGCAGCACATATATCCTCTCTGAATAAGTCAATAGAGACTCTCAATCTTACTGCTGATGCTAGAGCACAACAAGCACATTCAATTTATAATGCTGTAACATGTGTCTTCTGTAATGGCCCACATGTTTATGATGATTGTCCCCAAAATCCTCAATCTCTCTGTTTTGTAGGAAATTATAACATGAATGATCCATATTCAAACACCTACAACCCAGATTCGTGGAATCATCCAAATTGTTCCTATTTTGAAGGGGCAACAACAAGGGTCAGTGTATGCTACAGCACTGCACGATCACAGACCACCATTCCAGCAGCAACAACAACAACAGCATTACCAGCAGCCTGGACAGCAAGCTGACAACTCTGATGCGATGGAGAGTATGCTGAAGGACTTTATGGCAAGAAGTGATGCTCTTATCCAAGACCAAACTGGATCAATCAAGAACTTGGAGACTCAAATGGGTCAGTTGGTGGAAGTTGTGAGAGATATATCATATGAAACATTGCCCAACAATATTGAAGATCCAAGAAGCATTGGATATGAGCAAATCAAAGCTGTAGCATTAAAGAATGAGAAGGCAGTAGATAGACCAGAGGCCATAGAGAACTACCACAATCTGAAGGAGGAAGCTGAAATTCAGAAGGAATGAGGCAAGGTTGTTGTGGAAGATGAATTAAAAGAACAACATGTTGCACCTGAAGTTGCTATCACAGAACAGAATGCTACAGCAAAGCAACAACACTGTCAGCAAGTCAATAGGACAATTAGACCACCACCTCCCTTTCCTCAAAGACTTCAGAAGCAACAAGATGATGTGCCAGAGAATAGCACCTTATGTGATATTGAGGCTAATGCGAATTTGATGCCCATGAATCTACTAGAAAAGATGGGAATAAAGAGCATAAGGTCTACAAAGATGACTTTGCAAGTGCCTAGTCAAGTCATGAAAATATCAGTTGATGTTGTTGAAAATGTAATGATAGGAAACTCTGCACGCCCAATGGATTTTGCGGTCCTTGACATGAAGAAGGACCCAGTTATTCCTCAATATCTTGAAGAGTTATGCCTTGATATCCCAAAGGTTATGGAAGATATGTGGAAGAGTGAGCTGATTCTTGAAATAGATGGAGACCAAGATAAAGGCAATCCAAAGGTCAAGATGAAGGAAGAGCCTACATGCGAGAAGAATTTGTCGAAGGATTCAAAGTTGTTCTTCTTCCTTTGTTTCAAGCCACCTTGATCATCAGCCAAAGTCAGGCTGAAGACTATAAAACAAGCGCTTTTGGGAGGCAGCCCAAATCAATTAGGATATTTCTATACTTCTTTAGCTTTATTGCATTTAAATTTCTAAATTTCAATTTTTAGATTATGCAAATAGATTCTACACTAATTATTTTGATGCAGGTGAAATTTATGGGTAATTAAGGTTCCACTTAGGGGTGCTAAACGAGCCAGGGGCCTTTGGCTCGGCTCGTGAAGGCCTGAGCTTACATGTCTAAAATTGATCGTTGGACCCAGGCTAGGACTTGTATAAAAGCTCGTTTAATAAAAAGGCCTCAGGCTCATATTCAAAAGCTCGGCTTTAGAGCCTCTCAGGCTTGCCTAATATTTTTTTTTTATACTACTTGTGATAGTCCTCTCTCTCTCTTCTCAATTTATTTCATCCCATTTTGTTAATTAAACAGACTTTTTAAATAATTTTGTTTTATATTATGCTATTTGGATATACATTAAATTTATGAATATTTATGGAATTACTAGTGCTGTTGATTGTATATTTTGTTTGGATAAATTTTTGTTGTATTATTTTTTTTAAACAGGCTAAACAAGGCTTTTATTTTTTGTAAATGAGTCAGGCCACAGGCTGATATTATATTCATAATAGGTAACAGGCTAAGGCCAGTCTGACACATTTGAACACAGGCTCAGCCCGTTAAGACCAAAGCTCGGCTCGTTAACACCCCTAGACTTCCACTGCTACAGCATTGCTACAACACTGCTCCATCATAGCTGTTGCAGAAGGAATAAGATGCTAAGGGGAAGAAAATCAAGTTTAATTCTTGAATGAAATCCTGAAAGCACTCAGCAAAAAGCTGAGTTTGGAGTCCCCTAAAGCATTTTTGCAAGAACCCTGTTCTAGAAATTGAGTTTGGAGTCCGAGGTTTAAATTTTTTTTATTTTAGTTTGTTTCTATTTCAAATAAAAAAAGTTAAGCAAAACATAAAAGGAAAATAAGGGACTTAAGAAGCAAACTCAGTACTGATGCTGAGTTAAGAATGAGATGGAAACTCAGTACTGATGCTGAGTTAAGAGCAAAGAGAAGACTCAGTACTGATGCTAAGTTAAAAATACTGAAGAGTTTTAGCATGACATCAACCAGGCAATGATGTATATGTGCCCATTCTGTTATAATCTGCATTGCTGCAATATTGCTACAGCACTGTGTACGCATGAAAGTCAGTGATTTAAAGCCAAAGTCTAAATGAAAACCAAAGTCAGACTTGAAAAGCAGAACCAACTCAGGGTGAAAGGCCAATGGATGAACCATTCAAGCACAAGGATCAATTCAAGGGAAGAGAAATTAAGGAATGAATAGCGGAAGAGGGTTTAGGGTTCAACAATTTGTTAAGTTTGAATCCCATCTCATGAAACTGATTTGA